ATTCAATAACAAAACTATAAAATTCTCCAATTCTATTTCTATAATCATAAATCAATTTATTTTCGATTTTTCCCCACATTATGAATGTTTATCTCATATATTTAAATTTTTCAGGGTATTACAATGTTGATCTAGAATTACTACTGGGATTGAACTTGTCAAAGCACCATCTTCACTACAAAAGGTTTGAATCATACATTTGCATAAGCATGTCAAGCTTATTTTTTTCAGATTCTTTTTTATTAGTGTAGTTGTTTAGTCAAAAATTCCTTCTGTTGTCCAACTCTCTAGACACGCAAATTAAGACAGCCTACATGAGATAACTGACACATTTTCCCGTGCGTGGACCTATTACCATTGATCTGGAAATGTCTCTTTGGCTTGTGACACGTGTCTCCTTATTCCCCTTGTCTGAAACATCCATCTCTTCCATTACAAAGGTTTTCAAGGTTTCATTTGTGTTGGGCTAGGTTATTCACATTTCAAGAGAAAGAGTGCATTTAGCCTAGAGATACCTCTTAAGCTTCCAAACCAAAACCCTAGCCACAAAACCATCTCATGCACAAACACCCAATCACTGCATATTAGGGTTGCATTGTTTTTATGGTTTTACATTAAGTTGTTGGTCTATACTTTAAGTTTCATATCCTTCATAGACCAAGCTTTTGGATTCAAGTTAGATTCTTCAACAGTTTAACTGAAGAATTTGACTGGTCATTTAAATCCAGATTTCATAAACATATCATAACATTGTATCATTGATTGTGTTGATCTCGGTGCCACAAGGTGAAGAACTCAAGAGGAGTTGCCACTTCGTGAAGATCGAAGGAGTTCATCTTGTGTAAGACAAGGTTATACAAGGGTAAAGTTGCTCCGTAGATAGGGATCTAGGAATTGAGCTTGTGTGATCATTGTATGAACTTTGTTTACACTAGTGGATTGGATTCAGTGGAGAGTCCCCAGTTTTTTAACCCAGAGGTGGTTTTTCCGGCCAAAAACTTCATTGTGTTCAATACTTTACAAAACATCCTATATGACCAAATAACCATTGTTAGAGGTAAACATTTTAGGATTTGCTAGTATTGACACTTTGTTAACCAAGCAAACATAACTCAAGAATTAAGGCTAGAACATAACTGACGATTACATTGCCTTGTTTTAGCTTTGTAAATTTGCTTGGTTTATATAATTGTGAGCACCTAACACTTGACTAGTATGTTTGACTAGTCAGTATAGTTGGTTTCAAAGTTTTTATTGTAGGGTAATCCACTTGGTACCAATTTCAAGTGTTATTATATATTGGAAAGACACAATTTTAAGTTAATTCAAAGAGTTTCCTACCGTGACCATCCCCACCTCCGATGAAATGCTAGAATGGACTGTCCAAGACCTCCTTATTGATTCTGGTTAGAATATGGGTTTGTTTAAGACTTCCTATTGATTTTGCTTGAAATGTCTCGCTTACCATTTCCTTCTTCTGTTAATAGAGCTAGTGAGCCCTTTCATAAGGTGCACTCTGATGTATGGTGGCCTAGTCAACATGTTGCCATTTCTGGTTATCATTATTATGTAGTTTTCATTGATGACTTCACAAGATGTACATAGATTTATCCCCTTGTTAATAAATTTGATATACGTACTATATATTTTGATAAGTTTCATGCTTATATTACTACCTTCTTTGCCAAGCCAAGCTGCCAAAAGCATACAACATTATAAATCATGTCGATACACTTCGCAACAGAATGGGATAGCTGAAAGGAAATATCACCATCTTATCGAAACTATAATTGCTTGTTGTCTACAGCTTCTTACCACTCAAATTCTAGTACCAGACTTGTTAATTTGGAAAGTGCAAAGGTATACGTATCTCGACATGTGATTTTTTATGAGGACATCTTTCCATTTGAACATGTTAAGGCACAAGATAGGCATCCAGTCACAGGTTTCATTTGAATATTTTAATGTGACTCCTCTTACTACATTTAGAGTTTCTTGTATTTCGCCAAAATTTGAGGCACAAGCAACCAATCAACCATATGCCTCTACTTAAGCAAATTATAGTGCTTTTGGCAGTGATTCATTTCCTATTGCAGCCAGTGCAATAACTACGGGAGTGGATGTAACTGACAATGAGATTTAGCTAGAGACTCACCTATTCAACAGCTGCCTGCATTCTAGAATCCCAATCTAGTTGCAGCAGCTCCTATTAATACAACCTCATGGTGACATAAGAGAAGTTACCCCTAGTCAGAGGGAGATATAAACCTTACCCCTCGTAAAATAAGAAACAAAATACAAGAAAAGAGGTGGGGTGGGGGGGGGAGACATACATCTTATCATTTTTGTAAAAGAAAATACAAGAAAACGAGGGTGAGACATAAACCGTACCCCTCTTCAAAAAGAAAATACAAGAAAATGAGAGGGAGGGGGGAACACAGAATCAAACCCTTCTAAATAAAATCTAAAAGGTAAGAGCCCTATAAGACAAGCTACAAAACAAAAAGGAAACTCCAAAAGATTAGGTATAAAAAGAAAATCACACATCAAGAAGGGGAAATAAACATGTAGGCTGGCATGCCCAATAAATCTGAATGCAGAATCTCTATAAGAGGAGCGACATGCCAAACAAGTGAAGATGAGTGAAGCCTTAGCTAATTTGTCAGCAACTGCATTCACTTTTCGAAATGTATGAGATCAACGGAATACCATGCACTGCAACCGGGAATAAATTTTTTCCAACAAGTATGGAGCAACCAAGGAGGAGAAAAAGAACCAGAAACAAAGCAAGTTAACAAGCTAGACGAGTCACTTTCAAGCCATAAATTTTGTCAACCCTAGGAATGGGCAAACTCCAAAGTAAGGATGATAGCATGAAGCTCTGCATAGAAAGAAGTATGATATCCCAAGCTCAAGGAGAGATCACCACGAAAATACTTGTAGAATCTCGGAAAACCCTACCACAAGCCATAGGACCCCGTTTTCCTAGCAAGGTTATCTATATTCACTTTGACCCAAGGAAATGGAGGGGGATGCCAAAAAAAAAGGAACTATGGGACTAGCTTTACAAGACTCATTCAAGATTCCAAGAAAGACTAAAAATTGCTTATCCAAAATACCACACTTATGACCAAGAGTGAAAACTCCAACCTGCCTAATCCAGGCTAAAGTAGAATGACAAAGACGTGGAAAGGGATGAGGCTTACTTTCAAACTTCACTTTATTACGCATCTTCCAAATAGCTATTAATAAGAATAAACCTGATACTAGCCATATATTGTAAAGTGTTGGAGAAAATTGTTTTGACACAAAGTGAGTAGAATAGTGGAAGAATAGAGCCAAAGTAGTAGAAAGCCAAAGCCAATCATGTTGTGTAAATTCACAACTACAAACAAGTGCTCAATAGATTCAAAATTACTATAACTTAGTTGGCATATTGAAACCGAGGAACGCATCGTCGTTAAAGTTGATTCTGCATTGGGAGCTTATTGAAAAGAATCCTCCAAACTTAATAGAGTAGTGAGGTGGAATGAAAGGACGCCAAATAATGTAAGCCTAACTCTTAATAGGAAATCGATGACAAATAATTTCATAACCATTAGAAAATAAACAAAATCCAAATGGAGACGTTTCCCAAATGAACACGTCCTTGTCCTCATCAATTGGAAGAGGCATCTCTAAGAACTCTTTAGCCATGTTATGACTTGTACCTTAAATAGATTTCCTTGGAAATGGTCACCTCTTCTTCCTCGGCAAATAATGCTAATATATCTATCACAACTTTACGTTTGATCGCTTTTAGCTTTACACACATAATATCAAATTCGGAAAGTTGGAGTAATCAACAAGCTAAACGGCCAGAAAATGTAGGTCTAGTGAGTAAGTACCTTAAAAAAGTCAGATTTCACCATGAGGTGCAACTTGTGAGTAAGAAAGTAGTGGTGCAATCATTGTGATGCACAGACAAAGGCAAGGCAGAGGCACTCTGTTTTCTGATAACGGGTTTTCTCTCCTCTTAGTTGTTTGTTAACATAGTAGATTGGTGTTTCTTCTCCACCGGGTTTGTTTTAGGCAAGCAAAGCCCCTACTCCGGTGTTTGTCGTGGCTAAGTAGGGCTTGAGCATGATTCCTGGGTTTGGTGCCTTCATAGTAGCAAGGTTCATGATCAACTACTACACTCATTGTAGGCCTCAGAACACTATTTGCTCCATTCGAACTTCTTCCCCTTTCCTATGTAGTGGAGCGAATGCTCCTGTTACTGCTGCCAATCTCGGAATGAGCAAACTTCTTCTCCTTCCTCAAATATTATTAAGAAATATTCTTATATGTACTCTTTTGAGACATCATTATGATGTTTCAGACTAATAATGTAATATATGATATTTTATTATTGCACCGAGGTACAATGGTAACATTATGAAAATATTTAAGCCCTTCCTCAAACGTTAGGGTTGGACTTTGTAATTATTAGCTTTATCTAAACTACATGTTTATAGAATTCTGTTTGTGAGCCAAAACTCTAAAAGTATTATTCTAACCCTCTTATCAAAGCTAAACAAAAAGAAAAAACATGGGCAATTTGGTAATTAAATGCCACAAAAATTTTGTTGTTTTTTACACAAATCTCACAGCCTAATAAACATAATACACACTAAAAATTGAGAAGTTTTTTTAACCCCACGTCTCCCACTTCAAAAAATAAACCCCTTCTTCCAAGTTCCACGCCCAATTTTATTTCCTTTTTTATTGGTTTATTTAAAAAATATTATATAAATATTTTTATAACAAATAATGGACACATTTAATTACACACATGTATCGTATGGGCACACGACTGGTTAAAAGATAAAAACAAAACAAAAATCTTAAACATTTTAGGAGAGTGGGAAGCAAAAGTGGGTGTAAGGCCCATGGGTCATATGGAGACCCAGAAGATTGGACTGAAGCCCAAAGCATTCGTTCACGACGGTACCACACTACCATCTTCCCCTGTTCTACCAACGGATATGTAAGAAAAAACCCTAATCTATCACCCTAATGTGTCAACAGTTTCAAAAACCTTTCATCACCGAAGGCTTAGATCGGTTGATATTAGTTGAGATTAGTTGGAGTTCGAAGTTTTGCTTTTCATTTCCTGCATTTTCTCACTAACCAAACAGACCCACTTCACAATGTTGTCTGTTTTCCGACATGATGTGTAAAATCTAGCTTCTCACGCAAAGAGGTAGGCATTTTCTTGAACTCCTTTGTTCGACTCGTCAAAGGATAAATGCTACTTTTTTTTAATTATTATTATCTTAATTTTTGTAAACAGTGTCTCCTGCTAGGTAACTGTTCTTCCAAGAGGATTTGGTTAATGTCGAATTCGAGGTCAACAACTGCAGGTAAGGCTTTTCGTATATGTAGTAACACGTTTTTTTGGGACAAATGAAGCATCAAAGCATTAGATGCATCTGTTATTTGGAGGTTGTGCAAACTTCATATGAAACATTAAACTGTGTTCGAAAGAGCTCGCGAGTTACCGTTTAGGCTTTCCATAGACTGTTTATGTAGAAGATTGGAAGTGAAATGATAAAATTAGGCCATATCTTTACATGTTTTGTTTATAATTTCGGGTTCTTTCTCAAAACATTGTTGTCTACGAATATATAGTTTATATTAGCTACTATCTACCATTTCAAAACAACCAACAAGGGGTAACATGGGATAGTTTGTTAGTATATATCTTCCCTAGTAAACAAACTCCACTCTATGCTGCAGAGAAAATCTAATGGTATGGTAAAGGAGATCTTAAAGTGTCACGTATACGTTCTCAAGAAGGAAATCACCCTTTTCTGTTGTAAGTGCGATGTCAGTGTCCTACGGCTGTTGAAATAAAGCATTTCTTTCTAAATAAGTAGGGAATATCTTTTGAATTTGAAGAACTTAACTTCCACACAATCGTGTATTAAACTTTATTCTTCCGCAAGTAGGATGGCAGTGTCAAAACTACGTACTCTATTGGTTAATATAGTTACATTTCTCCTTTCTACTCTCCCTTTTATAGACGCAGGCAGAATAATTTTGGCAATTTTAAACCTCTGTGTATTGATCTTTTTGCTGCTCTTGTTCAAGTGGCTATCCTGATAAAAGCTGAGTTCTGAAATATCAGAGATTGACTCCGAAGCATTTCTGGAATTGGTATTATATGTTAGGGAATACTGGTAGATAGAACTATGAGGGTTATTAAACCGTTTACCCACCAGACTGCATGTTTCATGCCGTACCACTGGTAGATAGAGCTGTAAGGCTTATGGAAAAACATGGTTTTCGTGTGGCAGCACCAGTTATTGCATAGAGTGGGTATTCAACTGGAATCTGCTTCTACATGTTGGTCCAATTGTAAATGGTGGGCCAACACATCATCAATTACCTAAGGGTATATTTGGGTGAGGGACTTCCAAATCTCAAGGGATTTAGGCCAAGTGAGGAATGTTTGGGTGAGGGACTTCTAAATTCCAAGGGATTTAGGCAAAGTGATGAAGAAATGGATCACAAAAAGTTAGATAATAGGCCACATGAGAATTGCAAAAGCATGTGAGAGGGATTTGCAACTGACTAGTTGGAATTTAGAATGGATTTGCAATTCTCACGTGGCCTGTTATCTAACTTTTTGTGATCCATTTCTTCATCACTTGGCCTAAATCCCTTGGAATTTAGAAGTCCCTCACTCAAACTCTAAAACATTAGATAGGAGGATTGTAAATGCAGTACATGATTGTCACAAAGGTATCCAAGTGGGATTTGTAAATGGCTCGTTCCAAGTAGTCATATGCAAATTCCTCCCAAATGCCTTTGTAGTGTTCATGCGGTGCATTTTTAACCCCTCCTATCTAACATTTTGTGATCCATTCCGTGCTAACTTGGCCTCAATCCTTTGGGACGTGCAATTGTCTCATCCAAACATGGCCTAGAAGTGATACTTGAGTTAAAGGTCTTTTCTTATTTAGATAGATGGTTTGCCATGCTGATTTGAGATACTATTGGACATTATAGGAGTTGGTTGGTTAGAGGCCTTTTTCTGTTTTCAGTGGACAGCTTGTGACCATGCTTGTATCTATAATTATATCATATGAGTAAAACCCTTCTTTTTTTTCTCACCTCAAAAGAATAGAGATAAACCATGTTTCATGGTTCATGGGGTTTTTTAAGCGAGTTCAGTTTTGTTTTTGAAACATTACAACTTACAAGTGCTAAGATTTTTCTTATACAATTTGATTCTAGGTAATCTTTCCTATTGTATGACGACTTTCATTATCAATCATATCTTCCTTGGCCAAGGATTTAGAGTTTTCTTTGAATAAATTTGCAATGGGTCTATGTTTGCATTATTCTTTGAGTTTAGTTTTCTTGAAGAACAATGTATTGAATAAAATTATTGGTGATCATCCAATTTTAGGAAATGTGCATCCCTCGTTTAATTGATGATTATAAATGCATATGGCTCCATTAACTTTACGTCGGAGCTTGAAAAAAATATGGCATACGTTGGATCAGCATTTGAGTTAGTTGTAGACTGGTAGTTGATTTCATCCCTTTGTTTTGACTGATATGAAGCATCAAATTGTTAGGGAAAAAGGCCATTTAAAAAAAAAACAATATCCAACCATTTGACAATGATGATGACATTCATTTCAGATCAAATTCTTTGCATCTACTGATAGAGTTGTCTGGATAGTGTGAGGGTTTTGCATAACATTTAGCCTGCTTGAAATGATTAATCTGACTATATTAGATTATGTGGAGTTTAGGAAGACCTAGCATGACTGATCTATCTATTTGTTGGTATTCAGTTAACGTATTTTAGTTTGTTGAAAAGTTAAAAACTAATCTAGAATTAGTTGATCCATATTTTAGACATTACCTTGACGAAATAGATAAGGGTTTGCTGGGATTGGATTGAATGCTAATACTTTAGAATGGTTGGTTGATGGAGGCTTTGCGTAAAATTGGAAACTGTAGTTTTAAATGGAGAAAAATGATAAAAATTCAAAATTGTTGTTTAAAGTTACAATTTGATTTGATTTGTAAGTTTAGTGGTAATGATTTTACATTGCAGGGAGTGACAAGGATATGCAATTTAGTGTAGCTTGTATAGTTTCTGCCAATCGTTTTTGCTCACCTAACCTCCTGTTATGCATGCATGAGTGTAAATTTATTTAGTAGTTCAATTACTAATAAGGGACAAATCATGGTGGTGAATCTATTTTTTCATTTGAATCGCCTCAATGATAGATACTTGTGCGTTCATTAATGAGTTGCATAAAATTGTTCAGACTGCATATTTCACAAAAATGTCCGTTGCATTTATTTCATTTCTGTATAATCTAGTCATTTTTCTTGGCACTATTTGCTTGTAGCTTTTCACCTGACTTCCATGACCACCATTCCATCTACTCTTCAATAGCTAACTGCCTCTCAAGGTTGGATAAGAAGTCTGCTTTATGTGCAGGATCTTATGAGCTTCATGTCAAGTATGCTAGAAATTGAGTGGTGTGGTATCCTTATTTGACTACCGCGTCCCAAGGTGGGCAGTCTTTTTTTACGTTTCATGGGGCCTGAGTCTGCCGCCATGTGGATTGCGTGTCGTGTTTATTTGCTTGGTGATTGGGAATTTATAACTAAATATCATTAGGAGTTGCAATTGGCAATCCAAAAAGGTCATCCTGCACTCCTCGAAATGCAGTTTCTACCTTATGTTTCTACACGAGAGGAGTGCAGGATGAATCTTTGGAGTGCTAATTAATAACATCTCCCTCATTTTATTACTCGTAGATGTTCATTGATGTCCTGAGCAGGTTCTTTCTGATGAACGAAAGACTTGAGAGCCTAAGGATTGTTCAATTAGACCATAGAATTCCATGTGATAGTGAGAGGTAGGTATTCAGCTGTATCTATTTGATTTTTACTAGAATGTATGAACATTTCCTGCGATGGCTTATATCGGGATTAAACCAAGTTGTGATTGTTTAATGAAATTGAACCCCGATGTTGAATATGTTTTCATGTGTGAATACATGGAATGGCTGCTTGGCAGCATGTCTCCAATCTTTCATATATTTATCTATATGCAGACTAATTGAATGATAAAACTAGTATATTTTGCATTCATGAATTTCCATAAAGTGAATCAGATAACGATGTTTACGCACGACACAAAAGAGAATATTTAATATATACCGTAATTCAGTATGAATGAGATGTTTATACAAGAAACAAACACCCAAAGTTGAAGGAAACAGTGATTTGGAAGAGGTAGACTCAAAACTTGATACGGGACATTCAAATATTTCTGTTCATTTGCATATCTTTCCAGGTTGTTAACTTTTCTCTTAGCAAGTTTAATATTCCAAACTTTGAAATCTTTTTCTTTAATCCTTCTTTCTTTTGAGTCCTTTTGTAGATTACATCATTTCAGGTTTTCCCCACCTCAAATTTACCAAACCTTCAATTCTTTGCCTTTTTTTTTTCTTTCTTTCCAAATTGGAATATTTTCAATTAATGTTGTCACACCAAAACTTGTTCCACAAGAAAGCTGAAACTACTTGAAAACAAAGGTGGAAATAAAGCAAACCAAAGCAAAGATGCCACTTTCTTGTGGGTTTTTCTGGTTTCTCTTTTTATTTGCTTTCCTTAATGGATGTCAAAAAGGACAATGCAGAGATAAAGCAGATAGAGAGATGGAGAGAGAGGAGATAGAGAGATCCCAAATGGGGATTTAAATATTTAGGATCATCACATCCTATCCGTTTATCATACATTGTGTGGTTAAAAATCATTATGAATTTTTTTATTTAAAATTAACACAAACAGTACCTAACAAAAGTTGGCCGCATAATGTACGATAAACAAATAGAATGTGAGGATCCGGAAGGATCCTCATCCTCCAAAAGGGATAAGGATCCTCTTTGTGGGGATCCGGGAATCAATCAATCGTGTCCGTTCATCGTACATTATGCGGCCAGTTTTCGTTAGGTACTATTTATATTCAATTTTTAATTAAAAAATTTAAATAATTTCTAACCGCACAATATACGATGAACGGACATGATTGATTGATCCTCCGGATTTCCACAAAGAAGATCTCAAGAGGATCCTATTTAGCCCAAAAGGAACCTCAGGACAATAAATTTGAATATTTTAATTGGTTTTTTAAGAATTATGTGATTGTTACAAACTATCTACCGTTCCAAACTACCAGATGTTGGAGGAGGAGCACAAAGAAGGACATGATGAAACAACATTATAATTTGATGATTTGAATTGCAGATGAAATTAATCATAACCCATATGCTACCAAAACTATAATTAAGGATGGTGATGGCTATGATGATGCTGGTCACTTTATTTTATTTTTATTTACAAATGAAAAAAAAAATTGCATGGAGTTTTTTTTTTTTTTTTTTTTTTTTGAACAAGTGAAATTATCTATACTGAAGGGGTGTGTTAAGTCTCATAATGGGCGGGCTATAATAATGTGGTTTAAATTTATTTTTTGTAAAAATCAAATCTAAGACCTTTCACTTATAAATAAAGAAAAATATCATTGACTGTAATACTAAATGGCATGGAGCTTTGAATCTTATGTACAACCAAAGGTCAAAGGTATAGGTGTGTTGATGGAAGATTTGATGGGAAAGTAACAAAAAATTACAAGCTCGCATTGTGAATTGGATCAATGTTGTTGGATCGATGTTGTGCCGTCTGACAACAAGAAGGATCAAGGTTTCCCAGAAAAAGTAGGGAATCAGTGGACCACTAGACCAGCTACTTCAACCTGCATGTCACCTAATATTTTAAAATGCCTGACAAGATTTTAATTTTCACATATCATATTATTGGGTTTTTGAGATCAATTAGGTATTCGAATATATTTGACTGTATAGTCATTCATCAAATTAATAACGCGACAAGCATGTGTAACTCATTTATAAATTGATTTGGAAATCACATTTGCATCACATAAACTTGAACTAGTGATTATGGACTTTCGGCTTCTCTTTGATCAATATTACGTATTCCAATATGACAAGCAATCATACTGTTTGGTGGGAATATAGTAAGTGAGGTTTCCGCATTGCATAAAAACAGGTTTCACATCAATATGATGAAGGATAATACGTTCAAATAGAGGGAAACATACATTTCAAATCTCAGGATGCAATGTGATAAAATTGAAACTTCATGAACCATTTAGAAAATCACCTCAAATGTGGAGAGAGGTAAAATGTAGTTAACTCAATCATAAACTCAAAATACTACTCGTAAAATTGATACATAAACTAAATAATACTTTACCTTTAAAATTGTAGGTGTGGCCTAATTAACCACTCATTCTTCAAGAGAAGCCTATATGCAACTAGAACGCAAAGGTAGTAGTAATCTAAACCTTTTACATATTGTCATGTATTTTAGTTTGCTCACATAATATCGCGTGATCAGTTTGAAATGCTTCCATTTTAACGTGCCATTCTTTCCAAACAAAAAATTTCTTTGTAACCCTAATCCTTTTCTAACAGTACAATCCAATATTAAACTAGAGGGTGCAGGTCCCCAAGGTCCAGGTTACGTTGTTGCTTAGTAATTTGGGTTTTCCCTTAACTTCACTTTCCTTTTGTCCTCCAAAATTTATAGGGATAGAGGGAGGAGAAGCCTCTTCATTTTTTTTTATTTTTTTTTCTTCCTTTGTTTATTTCAATTTAAAAAAAAAACTAAAAGCAATTATCAGCTTCAAATAAACCCTTCTTTTATTTTCATATTAATATCAATAATTATTAGGTGTCCTATCAGAAAAGAAGGAGAAAATTAAAGCAAATGTTCCTCAACTTTAACTCAATTTAAGTAATAGTTCCTCAATTAAAAATTTGTAACCATTGATTCCTTACCTCATCAAAACGTGCAGTTATGGTTCTTTTCGTCAACTCTGTAAGAAGCTACGTCAAAATGAGTCATGTTGGAAGGACAATTGCTACAATTGAGTTTATTTTATTTTATTTTGAGGGAATGCTAAAAGAGTTAAAGTTGATGGACCACTGCTCTAGTTGAGTTAAAGTTTATGGACCATTGCTACAATTTTTCTCATTTGATTTTCCATATTTGCTCATTCATTTAGCCTTGGGTGCGTGGCACGTGACTCATTTTGACGGAAGTTCTAATGGAGTTGACGAAAATGATCATAACTGCACGTTTTGATGAATTAAGGGACCAGTAGTCACATATTTTTAATTAGGAACCATTGTTCCAATTGAATTAAAGGACCATTTCTACAATTTTCTCAAAAAGAAAAGAGGTATTCATCAATTCCCCCCTGAACTTGTGATCATTGGCCAATTTCCCCCCTCAACTTTAATTTTGGCTAATTTCCCCCATCAACTCTCATAATTAGTCAATTTCCCCCCTCAACTTTAATTTGGCCAATTTCCCCCTCAACTCTCATAATTAGTCAATTTGCACCCTACTATTAATTTTTTTTAAATTTTCCATCTATTCTTTTTTTTTTCTTTCAATCTTTCTAATAACTTCCAACAAAGTACTAAAATTAACATAAACTCACCTGCATAATATAGGGTAAAATGTACAAAAACATAATACAATTAGTATGTGATATGGGTTGATTGTAAGAAAAAGCTATGAATCGGGTTTAAAGCATGTAGAAGAAGAAATAATAATCCTAAATTCATGGATCAGACCTATTTCAATAAAATGGATTATTCTTAATAAGGAGTCGAAAATTATGAATTGACTAGCCATTTTTGCACTAAAGCTCGATTCTCCGCAATTTACTTGAACTTAGCTTTCACTTTTATAAAGAAAATTGTATTCACATACAAAAATGTACACATCAATCCTTTTCGTTATCAATTTTGTATAGTAAAAAATCAAATAAAATTACTCTATACTGATTTATTATGACTAATAATACTATTTATGATAAATTGTAAAATTCTAAATTTTAATCTATTTGTAATAGGATAAAGACATAGGAAAATGATTAACATACAACTTATTTAGTTTCTTACACACACTTGTTTAATTATGATCAAATTAAAAAATTAATAGTAGAGTGCAAATTGACTAATTATGAGAGTTGAGGGGGAAAATTGGCCAAATTAAAGTTGAGGGGGGGAATTGACTAATTATGAGAGTTAAGGGGGGAAATTGGCCAAAATTAAAGTTGAGGGGGGAAATTGGCCAATAGTCACAAGTTCATGGGGGAAATTGATGAATACCTCAAAAGAAAATAATAATTGAGGTGCAAATGTTTATTAGAAAAATTAGTTTTAAGGACAAAGAATTGCGTGCCTCAACATGTGAGGCTCTTGTCTATTTCCTATCAAGTCCACAACATAGTAAGAGGATTAGGTATTTGACCCAGAGAAAGAAAATATATGGACAAATATCCATGCAGTGCAGATGCATATGAAGATGCAGATGCAGATGCAGCCGATGCAGCCGAGCTTAGTTTGAGTGGGCTTTTTTGGTAAATTACTAATAAATAATTCGAAAAGCTTGGAGCCAAATTCATTAATTGCATTCACTCCTTTCAACCTTTTAAATGACAAAAGGACACAAACAAAGAAAAATACTAGTAAATCCACAAAAGAAGTCACTCACACTCACACCAGGTACTTCCATCAGCATGTGCTGGTTGTTCGTGACCTATGACTGTATGTTTTGACCTTCCTTTCTTCCTTCCCGTTAAACTTTTTGTTAGCTCCCTCCTCCCCAGCTTCCTCTTGTCTTCTTACTATATGGCTTGGATAACCCTAAGCCAAAGCTCATTAGTCTTAGCTCTCATCTAACTAACTGATTAATCACATAGTTCGAGAGTCTCACAACATAATATATAAAGTAAAAAGCATTTATATAGTGATATTCTATATATTAATAATTTATATCTAGTTATAGAATAAATCGTAATAGCTTCAATTGGACCTAACTATTTATCACTTATTGAGTTTAATGCGTGACTCAATTATCCCATTTATTTTGATATCGTCACTAATACCAACACCACCATCAAAACTACCAATACCCACAATCACACC